TTTTCATCCTGTCAGAACTCAGGGCTAGTTGATTGGATGTTTCTGCGGGCAGCCTTCAAGCGATCCTTATGATCCTATCATAAGTCCTCCCCGAAGCCTGGCCCTCAGCCTATCTACTGAGGGAGGAGAATCTGGAGGTGATTCAGTTGTTTGTGTTTCTAATCGCTCAGCATTCTCCTCAGCTACAGTTAACCTCTCAGGTTCCGGATCTTCGGTTGCACTCATGACAGAGCCCCACATTCAAAGCTACATTTTGCATCAGAAATACAATCCATTAATTGTGGCTATCTTCTAATTTATCATATATGTGTAAATATCAGATTGAGAGGAAAATACTTTGTTTTCAATCAAAAAGTTTTGGTTGAATTTATACTATGAGAAGCAAAAAACTACAAATCACAGAGCAATCCCTCCTTCCTCAAAACACGGGGATAACAGTAAAGTCTTCTAGTCTCAAGTTCCACACAATGTAATTTATTTAGTTATTTATTTATTAATAAAATAAAAACAAATAAATTCTAAGACATAATTGCACTAGCCCTTAGTATATTGTAAGTGATGTGGAGAAGTTTTGTTTGTTTGTTTATTATATTTTTACCCTGTCTCTCTCCTTAAAAAGGACATAAGGTGGCTTACATCAGCAGAAGGCCTTCAAGACTAACCTGAAGACATGGCTATGCAGGCAGGCCTTCCCTACAGCTATTACTTAGTCATAAGACTAATGGCGAGAGCAAGATTCCTCTCATGGGAGTGCCGTCCCTCCTACCCTCTGCCAACAAGCAAGTGCAAACACCACCTATCCCCCCTCCCAGGAAGGTAAGACCACCTAGAACAGACACGGGATCATAGAAGAAAAGTTGAAAGGAATTACTGTTAAAGAAAGCGGGAATGTTTTGGCGGAAGCGGAACAACAGCCCTGGGTAGAGGTAGAGGTGGGGTTTGTAGATATAAAAAGGGGGGATGGAAACCTGCCTTGTGGTGGGGAGTGGATCTGGTTGGAAGATCCATGGAGCGGGAAGGTAAGAAAACTAAGAATCCCAAAGGAGGAGGCAGATGCAAGGAGGAGAAGTGAGAATACCCCTAAACCCTCTTATTGGAGAGACCAAGAGACAAAAGAGTGGAGGAGGAAGTTAAGGGAAGAGCAGGAAAAGGTGGAGAGGGAGAGGAGAGAAAGATTAGAATGGCAGATGATGGAGCTACAGCAGAGGGGTCCCTTGGAAGACTATGGCCAGAGGATTCCTCCTCATGAGACCAGGTCTGGACAGATGACCGAGAGGAAGACACAGTCCCCTTACTAGAAGGGGAGACAGGACAATTACTGAACTCCAACTTTACACTGGATTGGCCGGGACCCTGGAACACTCAGGGGTGCAACCCCTTTAAAGTTGAAGAATGGAAGCCCCCATCTAACCAGTTGTTAGAGGGAGGAAATGGTTGGAATACCTTTGTTGACACAGGTTATTTGTTAAACAATCCAATAAATGATACACCAATTTCTAAACCAAGGAGGTCTGTCAATTTATTTGAAGAAAAACCAGAACCTCAACCTGAACCCTCACACTAGCCTATTTCCCTTTTTCTTTTTCTCTCTCTTTCTTCTTCTTCCTCTTCTCTTCTTTTTCCCCATCTTGGACTCTGTGATTAACTTGGATTTTACCTTACCTTTATTTTTATGTTCTATGTAAACTGCCCAGAGTAGACACGTTCTAGATCGCGGTATATAAATCTAATAAATAAATAAATTTGAAAACTTAAAACAGTAAGTGAATAGTAAGATAAATGAATTGCCTCTTTTCTCCACAACCATAACACGTCTTTGGGGCCCTTTGTTCAAAGAAAGGGGACTTGTTTCCCTTCACTTCACTGCTTTTATACTTCTGTTGATTTTGCACTGGGGGTTTCTCCCTAAAAAGGCTGCAAGGTGCCTGTTTGTTTCTGGGGTAATCCCTGGTCTCTTTCTTTCTGTCTTCACAGCTCCTCCCACCAAATTTTACCTCAGAAAAAATTTGGGTTTTTGATTTCTGAAATATAATCAGCCATCTCACTCGTCTGCTGAACTGTTTTCGGTTGTTTATCTCTGACTAAATACCTTAGTTCTCCAGGCATGGAATGACAGAGGGAACCATTTTGTTCTTCACCTCAGGTCTTGGATTAGCCTTGACTTTACCAGACAGGTCACAACAGAGGCTACATATGTCTCCTTCATGCATTACAACACCTGGAGACCCTTTGCCAAAGTAAGCCGTGTCTGGAGGTTGGAGCATGCTCAGTGCCCCACCCTGGCTCCCCAGTACCAGAGAAATGAAGGCATGCTTGTAACACCTTTATTCTCATATGTTGTCTCATTGTCCAACCCACTGTTTTAAGTGTGATC